CCCTAGATGTTTTCTCCAAATTTTGAAAAGCAAACTTACTCTGTAAAGCTGAAACTTGGAACTATGTTATTGCTCGCCGTCCTCCCAAGCTCTCTACTTCATTTGAGACAGCCAGAACAAACGTATTTTGACAAGCATGTTAAACCAAATTTCACCTTTTTTAACAGGATTCTTCATTTTGTTTTCAGTTTTCGTGACCCACATAGCTGAACTAGTGAGTTTTGTTGTACATTATAGTGTCATTTTTGGATAATTTCCCATCGATTCACCTTTTTCTGTCTTCATGAGTTAAAAATAGTGCAATCCGTGATGGGAGCTCCAAGATGGCGGACTTAATAAAGTCATTTGACTTCAAGTGATGTCATGACCGACAAGAAATATGTCATCTTGTAGGGAAAGCTGAAGGATATCTATTAAACGCGAAATAATTTACGTTTTACACGTAATTATGCACGTATGTCTTCTCACAACGAAAAACACCCAGTGGAGAGTCTCCATCCCCCCTCTCTTGTACCATGTAGTAGAAGTTTAATACATACTGAATGATATGTAGATAAATGGTTGGAAATCGAGTAAAGATATTATTTCTCGACTCTGTAGTAGACATAATAAGAAACGAGATACCGAAGCAGATCAGAGTCAATGCTTTTAGCGATCATAATCTTTCGACGCTGTTACAGCTCCGACACAGCGTCTTTCTCATGTGAATATGGCGGNTTATAAATCGACTTACATATTATGACTTATATCTTCATAGAATATACCGGGCGAATCGACTTTGAGTCCGTGAGAAACGACTTTTTGTTCGGACGAATCGTCTTCCAGTTCGGGCGAAAGGGTTTCGGGCGAACGAAATTTCGGGCGAAAACCGTAAACCAGTGTGCCCACCAGACAAAAATGGCGATCAAAACCAGTCAGACTAGCGTCTTCTACATTTTAAGGTGTGTCAATATATTAAAGGAATGACAAGGGATCATGTAAGATTACAAGCACGCGGGCCTACAAGGAAGGCGGGGGGGTGGGAGGGGGAGATGCTACCCCTTCGCCCTAGATGTTTTCTCCAAATTTTGAAAAGAAAACTTACTCTGTAAAGCTGAAACATGGGGCTATGTTATTGCTCCCCGTCCTCCCCGGCTCTCTACTTCATTTGACACAGCCAGAACAAACGTATTTTGACAAGTATGTTAAACCAAATTTCACCTTTTTTTAACAGAGTTCTTCATTTTGTTTTTAGTTTCGTCACCCACATTGCAGAACCGTAACGGTAGTAACTTTTTTTTACATTATAGTATCATTTTTGGATAATTTTCCATCAATTCATTTTTTTCTGAATTTCTGAGAAAAAAATGCAATCCATGATGGGAGCTCCAAGATGGCGGACTTAATAAAGTCATTTGAGTTCAAGTGATGTCATGACCGACAAGAAATATGTCATCTTGTAGGGAAAGCTGAGGGATATCTATTAGACGCAAAATAATTTACGTTTTGCACGTAATTATGCACGTATGTCTTATCACAACGAAAAACACCCAGGGGAGAGTCTCCATCCCCCTTCTCTTGTACCATGTAGTAGAAGTTCAATACATACTGAATGATATGTGGATAAATGGTTGGAAATCGAGTAAAGATATTATTTCTCGACTCCGTAGTAGACATAATAAGAAACGAGATACCGAAGCAGATCAGAGTCAATGCTTTTAGCGATCATAATCTTTCGACGCTGTTACAGCTCCGACACAGCGTCTTTCTCATGTGAATATGGCGGGAATCTATTGTCACGTGGGTTTGGGTGGACCATTTCACGTGCCAAAATATTCCCGTATAGGGCCGGCAGTTCAGATCCAACTACAACCTCATAGACATCTCGAGCTCATAAATGGAAACAAGAGTGGAAGTTTAGGAGAACGAGAAATGCTGTAAGAACACGAACCGACAGGCAAATGTTTCCACAGCCTTTTCGAGTTTTCCCAAACTTTGTCGAGTGTTTCTACAACTCAACAAAATACATGGATTTTTTTCCCAGTTTGTCTACTTACTAACACTGGGAGAAGAGAAAGTAAAATCACAGGTTTATTTCGATTATCAAATGTAAATTCTCTTTGTTAGTGCCATATTTGCGTCAACACTGAGCCCAGTGCTAATTATATGTTCAGTTCTATCTAGCTCTAAGAGTACGGAGTTTTTCTATTCGCACGATTTCTCACCACAGAGCGTTTTTTAATGGTTGATAAACTTGTACAGTTACAGGAAGATCTTCATACAAGTAAGAGCTCCAAGTTTACTGATCGATCGTAAAAAACAGATCTATTTCCGGCAATGCTTCTAGATCTCAACAGCCTGTTACCTATGGGAGCTGCTAAAAACTCTAGTAATCGAGAGTTTAACAACACAACATGCAATAGCAAAGAATCGTATTAAAATGTCTTTAGTTTGATTTTAATACACAAGACAATTTCAAACTCCGAATTTCAAACTTGTACTTTGGATCTAATTCAAAATGGCCGACCGTGGAAAGAGCAGCGATCTGAATTTTTATAATAACTGCAGAAATTCTAGCGCGCTCATGATCATTGGCTAATTTCCATTGTCAATAAGCGGACGGACATATGAATTTATAATTTAAGCGATGTTGATGCGACGAGCGAGAGCGGGCAATTTGACGATTTCTTATTGTAAAAAAACAAGTTGACGCCAGTTTTTCATGAGTATGTCCTGTTATGGACAATGAATTTCCCCATCACATTTTCAAAGTAGTCTTCAGATCCACTCCTACTTTGACAATGTTATGACGAAATTTATGATCACTGTCAAGACTGACGCATGAAAACCTGACGTCAATTTGTTAAGTGTACCGTACAGTTGTCACCGACATTCAACCTTTTCTAAGACTTGACGATTGATTTGAAACGCCAGTGAAATCAGTTATAATATGAAATTCAGGGGCCATTATTGTTCCCGAAGACCAGAGTCATTTTGAATTGGCGACCACGAGTTTTTGATCATCCGAACGCGGATGCTATATCTGAACCGGTACGAGCCTCTACGATCAAATTGATCTTATTATGCAGAACGTTACTATTATAAACTGTACAAAAAAAATAGTTTAAAGCTTTGGACAAGTGGCAACAGTTTGGGTGTGCATCACTACTACAGCACCCTATGCCAGATTTCTAAAAGCAAGCGATGAATATAAATGTATACCTGTAGCTTTTACAACTAAAATTCCGGGATATACATATTTTTTAGGCAAATTGTCACAAAAATATGATGGGTTTTAACTACCATGATTTCACAACATTGATTATTAATGCAATATTTTTTAACACTACTCGACTCCCCTTCAGATAGGTATGTAGGGAATCACGTATTA